TGGTGGGGCACAGGTCGCGCCGCGCCCCCCCCCCCCCCAGGAACAGACTGGTATTTAGTCTCTCCCTGATGCCTACCCTCCCACTTCACCACCCATTACTCCTTAGCACTGGGACAGTATACATAATGTACAACCTCTGTCATCCGCCAATAAAAGTTATGACCAATTTAGAGATGTGAAGGCCCGGGAAAAAACCGGAAAAATTCGGGGGGGAAATGTGTTTTTCCCCTCGTTTTTTTCCTGAAGCCTTGTTTTTTCCCGAAAAATTGAAAAAAGAAAAGAAAAAAAAATGATTATGGAATGTTTTAATTTAACATGATGAATAAAATATTTTAAGACAAGGTGTTCAAATATTTTCCAAATCATTTCTAAAATACATATATATGGTATCAGATTGATCTAATTTCTGTGCACTGAGGACAAGCAAGTCCTAGGTTACAAACTGAACTCTCCAATGCAAGAACAAGATGCATTTCTTCCTTTAGGAGGTGCGATTGTCAGAAGAAAATAAAAAAGTTTCAGTTTTGTTTTTGCATGTGGGTGGGTATTCTGTTTGTAATAATTGTTTGGATACACTATATTTTTAATATGCTAGTTGTGATAATTTCATGCCAAGTAAAAATGTCCATAGTCATATTTTATGTTCCTAAAGTAACAGAATGACTTTCAATCTAGAAAAGACAAAAGAAATGCTAATGTAGCATTTTTTTCAATTTTTCCGAAATTCCGAGCTTCAAAATTTCTGGATATTTTACATCTCTAGACCAATTGCAAATTGGCTGGATAAGAGCCGTGCACAGGCCAGATCTGGCCCACAGGCCATATGCTCTAACTTTTTTTATTCACAGTTGATCCCAAGTTGAATCTGCTGACATTCATTATTTTAGTCTTGAAATAGCACTGTATGTCTTGTAAAAGTAAATATGTCTATCTGCAATTAATTTTCTTGAAAAACACTATACAGTCCAGTGAATCTGGATGTTGGTTTTTGTTTAGAAGAAACTGCAGACTGGGAAAAGGAACTGCAACAGGAGCTTCAAGAATACGAAGTGGTTACAGAATCAGAAAAGCGAGATGACAACTGGGACAAAGAAATAGAGGAAATGCTTCAGGGAGAAAATTAACCACTTGGCATAAATGCTTACTGAAAACCCACAAGAACTTGTTTTTTTACTTGTTTCAGAGACTTTCTTCAGGCACAAAATTGCTTTTTGTAAACTAAGGCTCCGGGTGATAAGTAATTAGGTGTGAGGACTGTTCTGTGGAATACACACTCTGCTTTCCAGAGGACTGTAGCAATTTGGACCTGAGATTGCCTCCCCGCCCCGCCCTAACCGGAGCTCCAAACACAGTTCGACAAATCACTTGTGAAAACTGTGGGAATTACAACACAGGCTTTGAGTGCTTTGAAAAAGGGGAGATGGGGGGAGGCCCAGAGCAGATATAGACATTGGTTTGTTTGATGATTTCTTCAGATGGACTGACATGGATATTGGTTTAAGTAAATATGTTGTGAATAGTTTATCTGTGGTGGGGTAATAAACAGAGAACTTGTATTTAATTTCTTTCATGAAAGTAATGGCACATCATGTTGATATTTTGATTCTTTATAAATAACAATTTATGAAAATACTTCTAGCTCTTTCTTAGTACATGTGATTATAGGACACCATAGTATATAGTTGTCAGACTTTTATTTTCACTTCTTACAAAACCTCACGCTTCAACATAAATACTGTAAGGCAACAAGGATTATGTATAATATAGATAAATGGGATGTAAACTGACTGGGACAGTTAGGTTAATGTTCTGTTGATAAAATCTCCAGTGACTTAATTGGGAGATATAATGGTAGACCATCCAGACAATCACAAGAATGGTCAAAAGTTTATAAAAAGAAAAATCAGCTGCTGGTGGTGTTGTACTAAAACTATTTCTTTAAACCATTTCAACCCAAAACCTCTAAATTGCCTGTGGCAGCTTCTAATGGCAAAACTTAAAAATGGGTTCCAAACCATAAAACACCTTATAAGAAAGCTGTAATAAAATCATTTCTTTATTTAAATGTTAAGGTGTCCAATGTACTTTAAGGTAAGCATCTGCACTTAGGTCCTATTCAAATAATACAGCTTCAAAGGTAGATGCTAAGTATTAACAAGAAATTCAGGCCCAGTTTGTGTGGGTGTGGTTGAGAAGTGCTGTAATAAATATGTTAAGCATCTCTTTAAAAGATGAGGAAGACTACTGCACTGCACATCCTAGGATGTAGAGAAGATGGCTGCTGTTCCACAGATGTGGCCAGGAGACTGCTGCAGCTGGATAAAAGTGCAAGACTGAGGTGTATAGGAGATGTCATACTAAAGAAGGTAATGTTAAAGTACGAGTCTAACTTAGGCATGATAACTGGTTTTACTACCTGTTATATGAAATTTATTTTAACCAACTAAAATTTGATTTTTAGCTAAGAATTTCTGAAACAGAAACAGATTACAGGAAATTGAACAGAAGGTGGCTGAAGGATTTATGCTTAGTTTCTCTGATGTCCAAGATATAAGGGTGCCAGAAACATCAGCTCTCACTAATTCCCAAATAAAGATTTCATAAAACCCTGGATAACAAGCTCTTATTTTCCTATAGACCATATCTTGGTTGTTAGTAACACATGGTGGGTTTTATGTGGATCCACTTCTCATGAAAAGGAGCCAATCGTAATGAACATTTAAAAATAAAGAAGACTATGTGGTTCCATTTTAGGTAACAGATTATGCATTAGAATGTAGTTTTGAATATGTGGTTCCATTTGCTACATTTTAAGCTGAAGAGAGAACTAAATTAAACCTTCAAGCAAACAATTATTTCAGTTAGGAAGACTAGGTTTTGAAAGGAATCTCTGGTGGGTTGAACGTGTGTTTGTTACTAAGCCAAAAATACTACTTTAGATACCATACAGGCAAACAATTTTTTCTTTGAATTCACTCATTCTGTCTGTATTTTGGGGTCAGGGTACTCCCCCTCCCATCTGTTTAACCAGGGAGCCTGAGATTCTCTTTTGACCTTTTCTCTCTAGAAGTTGGAGACAGGTGTGTTCATCCATTTATAAAACTTTCATCCAGCTCAGTCACCAATTTATAGAAGTCATAATGGCTTCCAGCACCAGGGTTAAAGGTATAAAGGGTCAACTTATACCAAAGTTTCCTGTCACTTGTAGCATAGCTAAGATATACTGCACAATAGCTTTGATGGGAATAACTTTGGGAGGAAATAGCTACTATTGGCTGCTTAAAAGTATAGTAGCCAAGGTCTGCAATGCAACCATACCTCATTTTAATGGAGCATGATTAATGACAGAACCGTAAGAAACTTAGTACAGCCTGCTGGATCAGACCAGTGGTCTATCTCAAGCATACTGTTTCACACAAGGGCCAACCAATTGCCCTGGAAGGCCAAATGGCATAAAGGCTGAGTCCCACCCTTGATGTTGCTGCCTCCCAGCACTAGTATTTGGAGGTTTGCTGCCTCTATATATGGAGCTTCCCTTGTGTGAAGAAATGCATTTTTTCCTTGGAGGTTTGAAATGAGCCAAACCTTCACTCTGAGTTTTTAAGCCCCTGCCCACTGCAGATAATAGACTGGAAGGGGGAAAGGCAGTCCAATTGCTTTCCAGCTTACCTTCATACAAATGCTAATAGGTCTTAGGATTTTTTTTCTTTTTTTAAAAAAAATAGAGGTGCTGGAACTCTAAAGAGGGAGATGAAGTTTTCGAACTGTATACTGAAAACTCATGAACTTTTAAACATTTTTAAAAAGAATTTTGTCAAAGAGGTTCTGGAACTCTGTTCCAGTATGTTCACCTAGAAAAAAGCCCTGGGTCCAGGCAATGGGATGGTCTCCCCCCCCCCCCCTTCAAGCAGGGAATGGGGACAGGGAATGGAGATTTAGAGGTGTTAAATGCTAGAGAGGCTTCTTTGACCTGGCCTGACCGGGTCAGTGGGTGGAGAAACAGATATGAAATTATCAACCTAGTTATAAATTTTCAGTAAAATCTAATGTGTCTTGATAACATACTACATACTTAGCCAAACAATTAACCATAACTTTGGGGGTTATCACTGTTATGGCTCTAACTGGTCCTCTAAGAAGAGATCTAATGGTATTAAATCTTGTATTGGCAACATTATTAGCAATGAAAATGCCACTTTCAAAGAAATCTGCCACAAGCATTAAAATATATATATTTGGGAACTGATTTTGTTGAACTTAGTGATCAGTTTAAATTCTGTTTTTCAAATGTGGTGTTTTACTGCGTAATGAGGACAAGTGAGATTTCATTTGCTAGCACATATGCAGTACATTCTTAATAAGCCTGAAATAAAGAACTGCAAAGTAAATCCTACTCCACTGCAAAATAATCCATGCATGCTCCTTGGGGCAGCGGCATATAAACTGTAGCACACTATCCAAGTTCTGGTACATCACCTAATATTTGTTGCTGAGTGTTTCCAAGAATGCTGGCTTTGGTCTGATGCAGCAGCAGCCTGTACCACCCCCCACTGCCTAGAGAAAAAGAAACTTCGATGTGCACTCTGGGCTTGTAAATTTCTACTTCTATCCTCTGTATCCTCTTCCGGTTGATTAAATGGTAGATCCTGAACTCTGAACTACTGAAGTCAGTACACTTTTACTAGATTACAGTGAAATTTGCAAAGCCACTTAGTGAGTAAACTCAAACAGCATGGAGTTTTAGAGAAAGCAAGTTTAGTCTGAATAAATTCGACAAAGCTCACTAAAATTAAAGCCTAAGCGATTTGGTGCTCTCTCTGATGCACGGTAAGTACCAACCAGCCATGACTGTACTGTGGATCAAAATTCAGTGCTTAACCGTCATGATATGATAATCAAACTGTCTGTGCCTCAAAAGGCGAGGAATTGCCCACCAACTTAATCTCCCCCTTTAAGATTATTTCACTCACTACTGTGAGTGGCTAAGGGCACAAATATCCCAGCTATACAGACGGCATCTAGCGGGATAGTAATAGACTCACCCGAGCGTAGAGCCGGGCAGTTTCCTGACAGATCGCTTTAACAGCAGCAGGCATCCTGGGTGAAAGCGAAGCATATCTCCCACGTGCAAAAGACGGCAACGCGGCCAGAAGACTACATGTCCCAAGAAGCTGCAATTAGCCTATGGCGTTGTTCCGGCGTGCTTTTCTGATTGGAAAAGCGAAAAGAATTTTCGTGTCACTTCCCGAGGGACTCCTGATACGCGCAACGCAGAGTGCGCTGGGAACTGTAGTACCTGACGCAAGAGAATAAGGGCCGAGTCCAGAGGGGACCTTGGAGTTTTCGCTTCATCCGGGCTCTGGGAGGCGGGAGAACACGGACGTGTTACGTTACGTAACACAAAAAGCTATCTGCTGATTGGCTCACCCGAGAATGGGGCAGAGGGCCCGGTGTCCGTACGCTTACTTCCGGTGTGCTCCTGGTGAGGGCCGGCTTGTTTGGGTTCTGCCGTCACGTTATGGCGGCGCACGGAGCTCAACTCGCGTGCGGCGAAGGAAGCCGAGCGGCGGGGCCTGAGCCGAACTTGGAGCATCCGCAGGAGCCAGGCGAGGGAGAGGAGGCGCCGGCTCCGGGGGTGGCGGCAGGGGGCTCTGAGGTAACTGCCCGCTATTTCGTCCTCCTTTACCCGGCTGGGGGCGCCCCTGCTCCACGCGGCCTCCGCCGGCCGGTGCTGGGAGCGTTTCGCGCGCGAGGCTCTGGGGGCGCCATCCGCGCCTGGTCTTCGTCCGCATGACTGCGGTGCCAGCAGTTCAGAAGCGAAGGTTCACCTGGAGGGATGTCGGCTTCAGGTACGGAGGAGGAAGCAGCAGGAGGAGCTGAACTGCTGGCGCTGACTTAATAGCATTCTGCCTCATTCTCTACTCGAGGCAGTTCTGTCTCTCTTTCCTCTCGCGAAGCCCAGGGCGCTATCCTTCCCCCGCCGAGAGGGCGGGCGACTTGGTTATTGTCGTAGTCGCTTAGCATCGCGGGCAGCAAGTTGCTCTGAAGCTTTTTTTATTCTTTGACTGCACTCTGCACTTCACACCCGAGTACTGTATAAGAAGGTGCTTGTGTATCATCTCAAGTACATTATCGATTCTAAACTCGGTCGAGGTAAGGTGGTAAAATGCCCCCAGAATGTAACAAATGCAGGTGATCTGTGAAACTAGATTGTTAAATATAAAATAGGTGTGAAATTTGGGGGATGGGAAATAAAAGATAATTCATTGTTTTGTTTCTTTAGCAACTTAGGATTTTTCAAGTCTAAAAACCTATATATAAATGCCATTATGTTGTCTTAATTACTTCATTTTCAGTGTTGTTTTTTTTTCTGGCCTCCTTAGCTTCAGAACAGTTATATGTGGTCTATTTTATGTTTATTTATTTTGTTTTCCATCTTTGGAACAGGCCTGACAACATAATGTTGCTTCTGCTGATAAATGTTTTAATGAAACAAAAGAGATGTACTGGTGTTAAATAAAACATCTTTTTAAGAGCATCTCGTCATAATAGATGAGTGCTGTATCAGAACTGTTCTTATGGCTGCATTTCATCACAAGGAAGATGTGATGTGATTGGTATCTTTGGATGCACAAACCAGAGTACTTTGTGTACCCTGAGTCCAGTGAAATCTCTAAATAAGCCTTGATACTGCTACAGTAGTACAATTCACTTCTGTGTTTTACAAACTTGTTTAGCTAGCTTGGATGCCTTTCTACAGTATCCTTTCTAATGTCTACTCAAGCTTTTTGGAAGCAATTATTGTATCCTACCCCTGGGCAGGATAAACAGGTTCAAAATGCATTTCTCATGTGACCAGTAAATAGCTGTATGTGCAAGCATCAGAGGGCTCTTACAATCACCTTTAGTCTTTTGTGGAGCATGTTTGTTCTTAAGCAAGAACAGTAGGAAACTCATTGTTTCAAAATCACAAAGTGTGTGCTACGTTCTTAATTAGATCTGTGTTTCTCTTCCTTTAAAATGGTTGAAGTAAAATAGAGGGGGGGGGGGAGAGAACCTAGTAGACCTGTTAATTTTGTCCCAGATGCTAGCACCAATCTTATTTCTTTCACTGATGATATTTAGGCACAGAATCCAATGCAAATTGAAATTAAGAAACTCCCAACGAAATTATTAAAATCCATCACATGCTGCATCTGTGTGAGATGTCATTGCTCAGTTGCTTTTCTAAGGCTGTTATATTCTGTACTTGGCCAATCCCTACTACAATGGGGTTATGATAGGGAAACACCCATTTTTCATGATTATGAGAAGGGATTCATGCTTTTGAATTTCTCCATAGTAGTATTACTGACAGTACTTTAAAAAATAATTGATATTTTTTCCTAACCAATGAAAACCTAAGCTCCTCTATGACATGAAAAAGCTATACTTTTTGTGGGGCCATTCTGGTTCTTTTAATTTTAAGGCATTTGGACAATGAATGCCTATGGATGAGCATATTAGATGCTAATATACTAACTGTTTAGGGATCTAGTGGTTAAATGTGCCAGTGGGACTTCCCATCTCAGTCTTTTACCCACATTTTCTGGTGGCACTGCTAAGTTTTACACTTTTTCATTGAACTGTGATGACTTTGCATTCAAACATAAACCTGTGTTTGGTGTAATATGATCCAGTGTCTACTGTATCATAATATTCCAGTCTATCTTTGATATGTACGTATACAAACACACAGTGTGTTTTTTCCGTACAATCTGTCCCATTTTCTTTTATTTCATTTATACCCCACCTTTCTCCCCAACGGGGGACCCAAAACAGCTTACATCATCATTCTCCATTTTATCACTGCACCATGAGGTAGTTAAGCTAAGTGTATGTGACTGCCCTATGGTCACCCAGTGAGCTTCCATGGCTGAGTGGGATTTGAACCTGAGTCTCCCAGATTCTCCTCCAGCACTCTAAATACTACATCACACTGTGGGAAATATAGAGAAACAGTAGTTTGATCCAAGCTTTACTGAGCAAAGTATAATAAATAAGCTGCTGGAAGAAGATGGGTGAAGTTTCGCAATATTTCCAAAATCTTTGAAGCTGGAAGTTGACTCTTAATCCCAATATATGAATTCAGTTTGCATCAGATTATTTGAAAACTAAATAGTTTTGTATTGTACTTTCTGTTTATTAACACTTTTGATGCTGCATGTTCAACAATATCTTTGCAGTGGTACTAGCTAGACTTCTTTAAAATGAATATGAACAGGGGTCATTTCCTGCCAGAGCACACCGGAGCAGCGCTCCGGCAGTTACAAGCCCAGCAATCCCTGGCCTTTCCTGGCCGGCCGGCCTAAGCGGACAGGCCGGTGAAGGCCTTCCAAGCAGTGGGAAGGCATTTAAATGCCTCCCCGTACCTTCTCCTGCTCGCCCGCTGCAGCAGGAGGGTGGGGGAAGGCGTGTTGAGCCCCCCGACCTTCCCTGGCCCACCTGCCTAAGTGGGCAGGCCGGGGAAGGCCTTCCAAGCAGCGGGGAGGCATTTAAATGCCTCCCCGTGCCTTCCCCTGCTCGCCCACCGAAGTGGGTGGGCGCGGGAAGGTCTGTTGAGCCCCCCCCCCGGCCTTCCAAGCAGTGGCCTTCTCCCGTTTGCCCGCCATCAAATCTATACATCCCAGTTCGTTAGCAGTTCGTTAGACCTAGGCTGAGGTCTTTGAAGCTGTATTTATACAATTGGAGAGCACTGGTTCATCCATTAAGACTTGAGTTTATTAAAGGTAAGGTATAGCTAGATTCTGTGAACAGATAGTAAGAAAGTCTCAAGTCTGAGGCTTTTTATCCCATCCTTCCTCCAAAGAACTCAGGATGACATACATAAGGTTCCTTTGTCCATTTTATCTTTACAGCATCCCTGTTAGGCTGAGTGATCTTGACTGGCCCAAAGTCACGCACCTTCATAACAATGCAGGATTATTAAGTTAGGAAATTCCTGTCCTAGCTTGGCACTTGAGCAACTATAAATGTTGCTTATATGTTCTATAGCAGGCATGTCCAACTTCGAACAGTTAGTGATCTATTTTTTTCCGGCCAAAAGTGCCGGTGATCTACCACCATGAAAATAAAGTTTCAAATTAGATTTTAACCCGCTAAAGTTGGGTTCCACTGCGCGCGGGGCCCCCCCATTTATAATGCACTTTCTGTCATTCACTGGTAAGGGGCTGGTGATCTACCTCTGACCCCTCTGCGATCTACTGGTAGATCGCGATCTACCTGTTGGACATACCTGTTCTATAGAATCTTTTTTTAAAAGGATCAGGCAGGCATGCTTCACTCTAAGGCAGTGATGTCCAATATAAAATTCTCAAATAGGCTGCAGTTTCTGTGTGGTCCAGCAAACCTCTAGGCAATCAAGGTGACCAACTAATTATTGCTTCTGAAAGCACTGTTGAATCATCTCAATCAGTTTCTGTGTTATGAAAAGAGCTGCCTAATCCTATGTATATTAAACATTATTTTGTGAGGTCACTTTCAAGTGCGTTGAGCAGGGGGCTCGACTAAAGGGCCTGTATGGCCCCTTCCAACTCTGTGATTCTATGATTCTATAAGTAAGATTATTGAATTGCAGTGTAAGAGGCCACACGCAACATGATTGCACAGTGGGATGAGCTCTCTTCTGTGTTTGTAACTTGTTGTTCATTCTATACAGTGTGTTGGGCTTGTATATGTCCTGTCATATATTCTTACTAGAAATAAGGCCCGTTGTGGAATTAAATACAACGAGATCTAGAAAGAGGCTCTGGGAGAGTGCTCTGGCTTTGGGCAAACAGTGTCGCAGCAGTTGTGGTGTGGGCGGTACCCGGGCTTTGCCTTCTGATTGGTGGCGATATATGCTGAGGAGCAGTTCCATCAGCCATACACTAAGGGAGTGCATTTTAGAATTAGAACTTTGGCACCCACTACTCTTTTATAATAAGGGAGAGATAATGTTTCTGGGATAATCTTGGATCATAATATAAAGAAAAGAGGGTTTTTTAAAAATTAAATAGCTTATGCAGTTCTTTCCTTTCTCTAGTGCTTATTTCTTAGTACAGAAGAATCACAAATCTGTGAGATTGGAAGTAGCAACCAGGAACAGCTAATGAATAGCAAGTGTACAGAACTGAATAGAATGCTGCAGCATTCAGAAACAAATTATGATGGCACAGAAAATGCAGGTGCATTGGAGGAGGTGGAGGATTACATAGACAGAAATAGAAAGCTGTTGGGACCTGTGTTCTGTGCTGAAGAACTGCGAGAGGAGACTCCTGGGAGAGAAGAAACCCGTATTGACCCACCTGATGGCCAGCAAGACCCAGAGGCTGAGAAGAACAAAGAGAAAACCTTAGGTATGTAGCTGTACTAGGCTAGGATTAAATAGCTGCTGTTGATGTTTCAGGATTGAAAATAGATCACTAGCCCCTTTGTAAAATATTTTGGTTTTTCATCTCCTTTGCCTTATGAAGCAATAAAATAGACTATAATATCAAATACATCCAGGAAAGGTTTTTACATTTGTTGAAATATGGAATGTTATGCTGAATTTGAGTAGAAAACAATTTCTGTAAGCTTCTATGACTGTGTGTTCTTTATAGATATTGGGCATGATAAATAGAATCACAACATTAAAAGACTTTAAAGTTTGTCTGTTTTTAAAAAAATACTGGACTGGATCCTGCAAATCATAACCAGAAGATACTTATGGTAGTAGATCTTTCACCTTCCCCTGGCACCCCCAAGATCCCTGGAGGGCCAGTGCTCTGTTGGAGGAACTTTGTAGACAAAATGCCACTAGCTGTAGTGAAGATGGGAAACCAGGCAAAATTGCTCCTCTTTCACCTATGGAAAGCTTGATCCCTCTGTATTTCTGCCATCAGGGGAAGGAGGAGTTGTAATCTTGCCTGGTTCCCCCTCCTCTGTGCAACTCTCCGTGTGTTGTGGTATTTGCCTGCAAAGTCCCCTTGATCCCCCAGCATTGTCTTGGTGTCTGGGAGAGATGGAAGGCAAGGCAATACCTGCTTTTACCTGAAGTTTGTAGGATCTAACCTGTTGTTTATGTTTGTTGAAACAAATATTCATCAGCTATTGTTATGTATGCAATTGTATACATTCTTCACTCTGTATTTCATTAGCGGCATTACAAGACTTTTATTTATGTGCTGTGTCAAAGTTTCTTTTTTGTTTATATTTGTGCGATAGTTTACAGTTTAGAAACTGTAAATAATAAAATCATTTCTGTACTGAAGTTTTTCAGAGCCAAACTGTTGGTGCTGCTTACTAAAATATTTTATACTTTCCTGCATCATCCATAGGAAAAGAAGTATTATTACTAATGCAGGCCTTAAATACTCTTGCTACTCCAGAAGAAAAATTGGCGGCACTCTGCAAGAAATACGCTGATCTGGTATGTGCTACAATAAAATTCAAGAGAGTTTAATTCTAAAGATGTATATAGCCCAGGAGCTGTGCAGCTTCAGATGTTCATAGCATCAGTAGAAGTAGAATGAAGCACTTTCTGTGAAGAATTAAATAAGAACAAATTGGTAAAACACACTTTGAACATGTGTGAATAAAGCTACTTGTGCAGGAATTCTTTTGGATCTGTTGCTTGTCTTGAAGTTGTGAGGGAACAGTATTTTAGTTAATGAAATAAAAACTGGAGATTGTATATTAATAGTATCTTTGGACATGACACATAAGTGAGGAAAGCAGGAAATACAAGTATACTGTTTCCTGTTTTCTAAGTGGGATATGCATAAATACACTGTTCGCATTTGGTTTGGCCTGCTTGGTATAGGTTTAAATCCAAAGAGCAGCTGTGATTTACAAGCCAGGTTCAAATGCAGTGTTGACTGTACTCATAGCCTCATAGGTAGAAAAGTGCATTGCGTGTACAGTAAAGAATTGCCATGCATGCTCAGAACTCTTCTTTTATAGAAAAGGACATATTCTGATACATATAGAATCATGACTGTAATAGCTGCATTAAAAAAATACTCAGTAATGGGATACCTTACAGAAAGTAATTCTGGAGTTAGAAAGAATTCTCAGATATATGTCTCTGTTCCTTTATGGCTATTAATTCCTAGCAAGTTTTCCTGGTGGTTGCTGTCAGGCCTGACGTCAGACTCCTCCCTGAAAGATCCCTGCCACCTCCATCTGCTTTATACATAGAAACAAGGCTTCAGCTGGCAGTACTGTTGTTGTTGGCTTGCAAAGGCCATAGAGTGCATTTGTTTCTTCAGGTGGTGCTTTGTTATTTGGGGAGGTTAACCCTCCAGTTCCTTGTTCCATGCTAGTTTATGGCTTCCACAAAGTATTTGGCTGCTGCCCCAGCAGAGTCCTATAATAAAGCTTTGTGGTTATAAGGATATGAATAACAGTGACCAGCTTGGTGGAAAGAGGACACCTGGAGTTTCACTTCAGGATTTAGAAGTAGGAAGGGCTATACCATGGGTGTCTAGGAAGTACTGAAGCTCTTAGCCACTCTTTGTAGCAGGACTTAGCAGTAGTTCTCCTTAATCGTGGGTAGTCATAGTCTGGAACTGTGATAGCATGAAACTTTGATAACATGTCAAGGCTGTGAGGTTCTAGCTGTGCTGGTAATCAAGCCCAAGTCATGGTTTGTAGTTGTCAGTGTACAATTTTTAAATCTGATCAGCTACAGAATATCACATGGATTTAAGATGCTATGCCAAAGAATGGGTTTTTTACCTCGCTTTATTTCTCTTATTTAGTTGGAGGAAAGCCGAAATGTTCAACGGCAGATGAAGGTGCTGCAGAAGAAGCAGGCTCAAGTTGTGAAGGAGAAGGTTCACTTGCAGAGTGAGCATAGCAAAGCTATCCTAGCACGGAGCAAACTGGAATCTCTCTGCCGTGAGCTTCAACGCCATAATAAAACTATAAAGGTCAGTTTGAGATGATGTTAAATACTCGTAAGTTTATAGCAGGGTTTCCCAACCCTTTTGAGCCTGCAGACACCTTAGGAATTCTACTATATTATGGGTGGTACAGCCACAAAATGGCTGCTGCAGCTTACCTTCAATCACACAATGAAGATCCTTGTGCTGTGGTAGCAGCTGCAGCCAAAGCAACATACTTAAGAATCTGCAGAGCTCACATGGCCCCGCCCACTTTCTAAAAACACTTGGTAGGTGCCAGAAAATTTGCTGCTGGGAACCATGGCACCATGTTTGGGGCCCCTGGTGATTCATAGCCGTGTAACTTTCTATTTTTTTAATTTCATTTTATGTAGTTACAAGAGGGGGACCCGCGATACTCGCGGGGGGGGAGAAGAGCTCCATCTCCTCCATCCCCCCCCCCTCAATCTCCCCAAGGCTGTGGCGGCGGCAGCGAGGCCGGTCCTCCACCCCCCGCCCGGCTCCGACCCGGCTGGGCTCCGCGGCGGCGGTGAGGCCGACCCCCCCTCAATCTCCCCAAGGCTGTGGCGGCGGCAGCGAGGCCGGTCCTCCACCCCCCGCCCGGCTCCGACCCGGCTGGGCTCCGCGGCGGCGGTGAGGCCG